GTTATTTCTTAAAAAGAGACTAATAAAAATTGTTAACAGTTTTGTAAGATGATTAAGAGAGAACAGATAACCAATTTCTGGATTAAAAGAAGAACATCACTACAGATTCTGCAGACATCAAAAGACAGGATGTCATTAGGCCAAGAAAATTTAAAATTTAAGCGAAATAGGTAGACCCGTAGAAAAATGCAACTTACTAAACTGACATAAGAAAACAACAGAAAATATGAATAACCCACTACCCATCAAAGAAATGCACTTTATATATATATATACTTTTTATTTTTTTAAGAGACAGAGAAAGAGAGAGAGAGAGGCAGAGGGAGAAGCAGGCTCCCCGCTGAGCAGGAAGGCCGATGCGGTACTCCTGGGATCATGACCTGAGGCGAAGGCAGAAGCTTAACCATCTGAGCCTCCCAGGCACCCAGAAATGCACTTGATTTTAGTCAAAACGCCAAGCAGCAATCCATCCATCAATGAAATGAAATCTAAAATTAATCTTTCCCATAATGAAAATTCCAGGACCAAGTGGCTTCAGGAAAATAAAAAAAAAAAAAAGCCCTTTATTTAATTAAGGAATAAATAACACCAACTCACAGAAACTCTTACAGATAACAGGAAAAGTGGGAACTTGTCCTAACTCGTTTTATGAGGCCAATATAATCTGGACACCAAAGCGTGACATGGACATTATTAGAAAAGGAAAGTTACAAGCCAATATCATTCATTAATGCAAACTCCTACACAAAATATTAATAAACTGGATGCAACAGTATATTAAGAATGAAAACATATCACAACCAAGTGGCATTTATTCCAGAAATATGAGATTGGGTTAACACTTAAAAAAAAACAATGTAGGTACTTCTGCTTCCAGATGGAGCAGAGGGACTGGATTTAACCCTCTGTCATGAAAACAACCACAAACAAAAAAGACACCACATAAGAGAAAACAAAGGAACTGACAGGTAGTTTACAAAAGAAGGTAGCCAAATGGCCTGTGTATACATATATTTAAGAAATATATGCACATACACACACACACAAGAAAAAGTGCTCGACATCCTTAGTCACCAGGGAACTACAAATTCAAACCACAATAAGATATCCCTACAATGCCATCAGAATGGCTAAAAGAGAAAAAATGAATGATGCTGATAATACCAAGTGTTATCAAGGATGCAGAGGAGCTAGAACTCTCACAGACTACTGATGAAGTGTAAACTTGTATAACCACTCTAGAAAACTAGCCATATCTATTAAAGATGAGCATACACAAACTGAATGACCCGGGAAATTCCACAACTAGACTTATACCTCTAGAAACATACATATAAGGAGCATAAAAAAACATGTAAAAGAATAGTCACAGTGGTCCCAAAATGGAAACCATTCAAATGCCCATCAACACAGAAAACGAATAATTATGATTAATAACTAATCATTACATATCTGTATAACAGACCATCATGCTGCAATAAAACAGAATGCACTACTATTACAAGCAACATTTGGATGGCTCTCATATATTGAGGTAAAAAAATTGGACATCAAAAAGTATATGCTGGATGATACCATTTATTATCTTTTATAAAGGCAATCCTGATAGATGGTTATAGAAGTCAAGATAGTAAATGCCTTTGTGGGGGTGGGCGTAGTGGTGGCCAAGACAAGGCGCATGATGTGGTTATACAAGTGTGTTCTATCAAGTTGTTTACTTAACACTTGTGCACTTTACCATATGTTGTATTTTAATGAAAAAGTTCACCAAAAAACATCTTTCCATACCAAACACTTTCCAATCTGACAGTCTTCTATCGATAAGCTTGAGTCATTAAACTAGGTGTCTGAATACATTCTGAAGGTTTAGAACAGAAAACTAGGAGATGCCTTCTATCAGTTATTGTTCTCATCTACCTAAATTAATCCCCCTCTCCAGTTCTTTTAATACCACATCTCATCTATTGACCAGAGGGTGGTCCAGGGATACCACAAAGTACCCAGCATGCTGTCAGGCACCATTATAAATACTCAATAAATATTTGTTGAATAAATGAGTGCATAGAGAAAGAGAAACAGAAGGAAGCAGAGAGACACGTTACAGCTTCTCTGAGGGTCAGGACTCTACCATTAGGCCTGCCTACTGCCCACTAGAAAGTAAAGTCCTCAAGGGCCTTGACTTTGTCTATTTTGGTCACTGATATATTCCCGCTAGTGTCGTAAGTTTTATAGTCAGGGATCTATTAAAATGTTTTATCTACTTTAAATGTACCAAACTCCTCTTTCAACGCTGGTGTGGTGTGTTTAATGTATGTCTTTAAAAATGCTTTTCATGTTGTTTTGGAAACAAGTATGAGACTATCAGGTTTCTAGGTTTAGGTTCGTTTTTTAGTCTAGTCAAGAAGAGAGCTATGATTTACTAAATGGTCAGGTTTTGAATTTATAGCATCTTCAGCTATCTGGCACTCTGATCCTGCTAATGAACCCAATCCACTCCGATTACAGCTACTGACAATTGCTATTTGCTCCCACTCTAGCTTTCCTAACACTTCTGTTCAGGTTCTCATCTAAATCAATTTTTTGTGACCTACACATGAAAAAACCAGTTGAATGCCAAGTTTAAATATGAAGGATCTCATTTACAAGAATTATGTTAACTACTACTGAACCAGTAAATGTAGAATTCAACTCACCCACTTTATTATTTTTACTTGCTAGGCTTTCTCACTCTTTCAAAGACTTGGCTGTATACAGCAATAACAATATCCAACATTTGCTGAGCAATCAACATATCAGGTACTACCCTAAGTCTTGTATATATATTATTTCATTTGGCATTCTTCAAAAGTATACATCAGGGCGCCTGGGGGGCTCAGTCGTTGAGTGTCTGCCTTCGGTTCACGTCATGATCCCAGGGTCCTGGGGCCAAGCCCTGCATCGGGTTCCCTGCTCAGCGGGAGGCCCACTTCTCCCTCTCCCACTCCCCCTGCCTGTGTTCCCTCTCTCGCTGTCTCTCTCTCTCTCTCTCTCTGTCAAATAAATAAATAAATAAAAGTATGCGTCAGATACCAAGAGAGTTTCTCCCTTGAACCATTCTAGTAACAAAAGAATATCTCAGAGACATTAATAAACTGGTAATAAATAACTTAAAAGCAAATGTCTGCTAAAATCTGTGCACAGTTGTTACTCTACTGTGTTTGGTTTAAGAACCAAGCAATTAACCAGTACATAAACCCACTAGTAAGACCGAGGTTTACAATAAATACCAATCAATCTAAAAGAGAAAGAATATTTTACTAAGGATGTAATCATAATTCCAATACAAATGGAATTCTGTTCACATTTTTGGGGGCCTAGTACTCCACTTCCAAATTCTGACTCATGAAGGTATTAAAGTCATAATAATGCAATATTTTAATTGGACAGGACCTAGAGATCTAACCATAGAATTACAGATCTCTGATTCTTCCATCCATTCAATAAAGGACTCTCGCTGAAATCATCGCTGATAGGTCAGATAGAGATCAACATTACTAATTACTCCTTCATGAAATGAAATTATCTCTGATAAGTATTTACTAAATGCATCTAGTAAAATGGAATCTGTTACTTCTATTTTCTGAACAGCTGTAATTTGAAGGAAGTTGTTAATATTCACTCGTAATATTCCTATTATTTCTACTTATTTGACTTAATATCCTACATTTCAAAGAGAAGTCTAATCCCCCCAGCCAACCCCTCAGCGGACAATTATGTTATTTCCAATCTAGCTTCCTCCTGATACCAAGTCTGTTCTTTTCTAGGCTCAAAAATTTGTTTTCTTTATTTATTCCACCAGTTAGCAGTTTCCAGACTTTCCTTCATCTTAATGACCAATCTCTCATTAGTATAAAAGATGGTAAACTTATTAATGTGATTCTTTTGGACCATACACATACATCTCTGCATGTAATCTAATGTTACAATGGTGTTTTCAGCAAGAGTTCACTGTTTCTAAGCACTCAGTTGAAAGCAGTCACATAAGAACTGTCGATCATCAAAATCTTTCAAGATACAAAACAGGACCATTAAGGCCTTGCAAGATTAAACATGACATTAACTTAATGACAGAAGGAGATCTAGAATCAAGTCTTCCAACTACTAACTAATGCTGTCTTTCTGCCCAACACATCAGAATCACATCCCCAATAGCAATGACAGTACCGCAAGTTGGAAAGTATGTGATATTCTTACAGTATTAGAAAAAAAACATTAAGGATTTCCAGCAAGGTATTAGCTGTAATTCTTGATTTGTGGTGGGATTACCAGTGTTTATTTTGTTTTGCTCCATCTGAATTTTCTAGTTTGCTTTTTAAAATTTAAAATTTAAAAATACATATAGCTCCTATAATAAAAATTTTTTCATTTAAAAAAAAAGGCAAAAGGAAAGGCATGACATTCTTTGTGTGTGATATAACTTACTTCAAGTATAATTTTAATTTTAAAAAGCTTAAAATATGGACTATTGGTTAGCTTACATTTTTATGTCAAAATATATCTTGCAAAAAATGTTTTGTGACGATGGTTTTCTATCATAACATTATGGTTTGAAATGTTTAAAAAAACTACATGAGCACATGCAAACATAAATTAATTTGTTAGTACATACAGAATTGGAATGGTCAAATCATTCAATACCGAGCCATTAGTATGTAAGTACTTAAAACCAAAATATCTGCCACTATGATCTGATGATAAAATATACAAATAAGTCTATTAGTCAAAACCAGCTAAATGAACTTTAAAAAGCATGAAGATTATGATGAGTTTCAAGCACTAACTGCAAGAACATGTGTCAAACTCCAAATGTTAGGTGACAATTTAGCAGTCAGGGATGGCACTTATGTAAGCAAGCAGCATGAATGAACACATACTTTAAAATTTCAGGTGACATTCAGCTTTTACTACAAAAGGGAAGGATTCCCCCCATTACAGAGGCATTGATACACTGCCCTCTGTACCTGGCACATCCTGGGGGAGCTCAGATGCCACCTTCTTCTCTGCCATGTTGCTGCTATCGTGGGTTTCTGAGAGACACCCCACGGGACTCCTCCCTTCAGAGGGACTAGTCTCTTCTGAAGAAGCATTTGTTGTGTTGTCGCCAAGATTTGCTGACACAGAGTTACCTTTATCCCCAACTTCTGTTGGCTCTACAGTAAAATGCACAACAAAACTTTAAAGATATCCTTTAAAATTGCTTTAGGACAAATGGCCACATTCAATCAACTACTAAAAATGAATGATCACCAAGAAAACCTGCTTTTATTTGATGGCCATTTTGAAGCAATCAGATTCTGGGATACTTTTGCAGTAAGTAATCCAAAGAGTATTTACGAATATTTAAAATATTAAGAATGTTTAAGTAATTAATATAAAAATGAACATATCTTATCACATACAAAAGTGTATATTCTGGTATAAAAATAGGGATTTTTCACCAACAAATCTCATAGGAAAATGGCACCTTATGAGGAAGTATAAATAGAGATACAGGTATATTATAACCAATCCACCAATATATAAAACTCACGACAATGATTATACATGTTAAAAAGGGAAAAGACACCCTAATTTCTTTAGAAATATAAAATTAAATAGGTATTAGTAATAAAGAGATTCATTTTCATTTTGAAAGTAAAACTGAAGTTTTCATAAATAATACTGATTAAATATTACTTTCTAGCCAAGTAATTTTTTTACCCTCAGATTTTCCTTGCTCAGGATCATCACCCGGTGTTTTGTCGTCGCTGTCTTTATCGAGGGACTGGTCTTCAAACTCCTCTCTGCTTTTCTCAACATCTTTGGGGTTATTATTCTCGGTCTCACTCTTGTCCTTTTCTATTTCTTCTGGGCTTTTAACAATATCAATTTCTCCTTTTTTGGCTCTTATGGATTCCAAAATTTCTTCTATAATAAAAACAAAAAATTTTGTTTCCATATATACCAAATATAAAAGTACTACAAATGCCACTTAAGAGTTTCAGTATGTTATTAAAGTTAAATATGTTCAAACATTAGAACTATGAAATAAGGATTAAGACTACCAATACAATGTTGATGCTTATAGAACTCAACCAATTTGGCTATCTTTACTCTAGAAAATACATGGTAATTATGACTATTCTCTTTTTTTAAAAAAGAAAATCAGTCTAACTTTTGAAACTGACACGGTAAGAGATTACTGCCATCTCTTCTACCGTATGAGGAAAACTGCAGGCTGCCCTGACCACAGTCTAGGCAGTGGTACAGTGGTCAAAACCAAGGTACCCACGACCCAGTGCACATGTGACTTGAATTAGCTGTTTAGGCTTACTGTAGGCAAGCTATTTAATCTTCAGGCTTCCACTGTAAAATGAGAAAACAAAGTCCCATTTGGAAAAACCTTTCTCTCTGAAGTCCCATAACTGTTTTGAAAGCCAATAAATCCCTAAGGGCTCTAATCCTCTTTCAATTTCGGTAGAATGATACTATAGCATGATGTAGACCACAAGTATATCAACATAGACTCTTAGGTACTAATGATACTCTTTGGGTTATGATCCAATACTATCATTTTTTATTTTGTTGCTCAAATTCTGTTCCAGCTTTGGCCACTGGAAGCTAAAAGTGAGGCCTGTATTCTCTGAACACACTTCAGTCATTCATTTGTTCATTCATTTAGCATTTCCTTACTTTCTAGCACTACAAGATGCTCCAGGCTCACCTTGTATTCTCCCTGTCCCAACCCTAGAATCCATGATCTCTGTAAGGACTCTTTGTTCTTTTTTTGTTGGAGAATGATATTTAGAAGACATGATTTGGGCTCTAGATGAACTTGTTACTATTATAGTGTCACTGTTTCTATACTCTCTCAGCCAACTGCTAGGAAATGTTATGTGTATGCATACTAACCCATGTATATATACATCTATGTTTTTTCACTATCTATGTGAGGTGGTTTGTGTGGTTCATTCAGTCAATGCCCTGTTGCTTCTTTGTAACTTCTAACAAGAGAAACCTTGTTCTCATTATCTATAATGTATCTATTTATTTGGTCAACCCTAGTATAAATAGTAATCTCAGAATTGCTAAACTGTACCCCATGAGAAATAAATTAACCAACTAGAGTACAATGTTTGTAAACAAGAAGAAACTTTTTTTTTTTTAAAGATTTTATTTATGTATTTGACAGAGAGACAAAGCGAGAGAAGGAACACAAGCAAGGGGAGTGGGAGAGGGAGAAGCAGGCTTCCCACTGAGCAGGGAGCCCTATGCGGAGCTCAATCCCAGAACCCTGGGATCATGACCTGAGCCGAAGGCAGATGCTTAACAACTGAGCCACCCAGGCGCCCCAAGAAATATTTTTAATGCCATGTCACATAGTATTTTTTTTAATTTTTAAATTTCCTTGTTTAAATTTTCTGTACCTGTACTTTCACTGATGTTTCTTAAACTGTAGGTATCTAGAATGTTTCCTAGGATTAAAAAAACCTTGTAGGGTGCCTGGGTGGCTCAGTTCGTTAAGCGACTGCCTTCGGGTCAGGTCATGATCCTGGAGTCCCAGGATCGAGTCCTGCATCGGGCTCCCTGCTCAGCGGGGAGTCTGCTTCTCCCTCTGACCCTCCCCCTTCTCATGCTCTCTCTATCTCATTCTCTCTCATAAATAAAATATTTAAAAATAAATAAAAAAATAAAAAAATAAAAAAACCTTGTAAAGTCATCACTGGAAAACACTGATCTTTCTGGTAAAGTGATGACAGTTGAGCTGGCTAGAGTTAATTCTTCACACTCTCTCTCACCTTCTCTAATCCTAATTCCTATAAGAATTTGGAACCAATGAATATGTGAACATCTAAGATAGATAAAGGACAATTTCATATGGAAGAAACTCCAACTGGCATGTTTTCTGTCCTCATCATCATCCAAGTCATCCCAGGATCCTTTTGTACATATTTCCTCACATCCCTTTACCTACCACTTTCCATTCAATTCACCTTAGCTGTAGTTACTCTTGCTACTAAGTACACTTAACTTACCAGTGGAAGTATCTCATTCTTTTTTAAAGAAATTTTTATTCAGAAAGTCTAGTTTCCAATCACCTGCTTTTCTTAGAGAGCCATGTTATTTCTCACTTTCAAACATAGCTCCACTCTGATTTTCAATTGCCAGCTTTTCTATTTTCTTTTTTCAAGGTATCTCTATGCCCAATGTGGGGCCTGAACGCATGACCCCAAGATCAAGAGTCACCTGCTCTATGGACTGAGCCAGCCAGGTGCCCCAACAGCTAGCTTTTCTTAACCCGACTAGTGCAAGTTCCTCCCAACTTTCCTAGTGCCATTTAATGAGAATAAAACAACATTCAAAACAAAACAAAAACAACTACTACCAGGGTGCCCAGGTGGCTCAGTTGGTTGAGCGTCCAACTCTTGATTTCGGCTCAGGTCATGATCTCAGGGTCGTGAGATCGAGCCCCGTGTTGGGTTCTGTGCTGGGCATGGAACCTGCTTAAGATTCTCTCTCTCCCTCTTTCTTTACCCCTCCCCTCCGCTCTTTCTCTTTCTCTAAAATAAAATAAAAACTATCTCTACTTAGAAAAATGCATTCCAAAATAAACTTCCTTCAAAAACACCAAAATAAAGCATTATAAAATACAATTACCATAAAGGTATATGATAAAGCAAATATAGCAAACTATTTACAACTACAAATATATAGTAAACTGTAGAACCAAGATGATGGGCATGTAGGTGTTTACTGTATCATTCTTTTGACCTTTCTGTATATTTGAAAATTTTCATAAAATATTAGAAAAAATAGAGAAAGAAAATTCAACTACCAAAAGTGGAATTAAACTCTCCTAAAGTATACGTGTAAGTATATAAAAACCAGAGGGCTAAACTTGAAAGGAATTTATGCTACTTGCAAGGTTAAAAATGTCAAATCATTAGAACGCACTGTGATGTTGAAATTGCTGTCACAATAATGCAAATTACTCTTGGCTATTTCAGAACCCAGTAGTTTCTGTTGTTTTCATCTCATAAAATCCCAAGTTAAAGAACACCACTAGATACTATTCTAGGTTTTTACCTGGGCTGGATGCTCATAAACTGACTACCACAGCCCACGTTTTGGTTCCCAGGGACAGCAAATAAACTTAACAGTGGCAGACCAGCCTTTTAACGGGGGATTCTTCTGTCTGAATGCTTAATGCATTGCCAGTACACTCCTTACAAAATTGTTGAGAGGACTAAAGCCTTGTAAAACATCTAGTTGAACACCCAGCCCACAGTAGGTACTCAAAAATGTCAGTTTTCAGGATGCCAGGGTGGCTCAGTCGGTTAAGCATCTGCCTTCGGCTCGGGTCATGATCCCGGGGTCCTGGGATCAAGTCCCACACCGGGCTCCTTGCTCAATGGGGAGCCTGATTCTCCCTCTGCCTGCTGTTCCCCCTGCCTTGTGCTCTCTCTGATAAATAAAATCTTAAAAAAAAAGTCAGTTTTCCCTCCTCTTCCCACCAATTTTCAATTCTTTTGAATTAGAGTACCATGTTGGATAAACCTTAGCAGAGAAGAAGAAGAGAAAAGAAAAACAGTGTCACTTTTTGTCTAGATCTCGCCATGAAATCCAAGCTGCAGTTACCCTTACTTAAATGGAAGCCCACACTGTATTAAGAGGGTAAGACAGTCTCACAGCACATAAGCGTTGGCCACCTAACTTTCCAAGAAAATCTTGTGGCCTAATGCTCAAAGCTTTCTCTGCCGTTCTTGACTACATAAAAAAGTTTAACTAATTTTTTTAAAAGTACATTACTTGCTGGGCACCTGGGTGGCTCAGTCGGTTGAGCACCTGACTCTAGGTTTTGGCTCAGGTCATGATCTCAGGGTTGTGGGATCAATCAAGCCCCCCATTGGGCTCCGCACTCAGTGGGGAGTCTGTTTGAGATTTGTTTCTCCCTCTCCTTGTCTCTCCCTCCCCCTAAGATAAATAAATGAATCTTTAAAAAAACAAAAATAAACAAACAAAAAAATGCTCACTGTAGAAAATTAAATAGGATACCAACTATAATCCATTATGCTAATTGGTTGTTTTTTTTTTTTAATAAAAGCTGCTCTATTTACCCAGCTGGTTATTTAAAGAAAGAGAATTTAAGTACCTCAATGACCCAGGTACTGTTTTGGCATGGTACCTTATATAATTCTCCAATTCTCTAGTGTTCTATCACATGATAATTGGTAAGAGAATTAACCAATTCTTCTATATTGGGATCTAGTTTTTCACATTCCCCTAAATCAGACCACTAAACATTTTGATTACCAATTCCTATTTTGGTTTTGTTCTTTAGTTAAGATGATACTGGGGCACCTGGGTGGCTCAGTTGGTTAAGCATCTGACTTCGACTCAGGTCATGATCTCAAGGTCCTGGGATGGAGCCCCATGTCAGGCTCTGCACGTCAGGCTCTGTGCTCAGCAGGAAGTCGGCTTGTCCCTCTCCCTCTGCCCCTCTCCCTGCTCATGCGCACCTCCTGGTCTCTCATTAAATAAATCTTAAAAAAAGATGATACTATCTTTACAATTTTGTACATAGGCAAGCTCACTCTAGAAATTATTTCTAATTCAACATACTTGATAAAAATGCACTTAATATTGCTTTTTAAGGGAATGGACATAGTTCTTTATTATTGTACTAAAAGCTGAGAATGCAAGGTAAAAATGGATTTGTCAATTTTAAATGCCCATTCATGAAAGAAAATTAAGAGGGAAGTAACCTGACTAAAATTAATAAAACTTCCTATTATCTGATCTATACTATGGAAAGAAGTAAGAAGGGGATACAACCTCCCCCCAAAATTCTAACAACTAAAATTATCTGATGAAAATGTTACATATTTTTCTAAACAGATCTAATAGAAAAATTAGATATGGATAAACACAATCCTTGGTAATTAGTCTGCTAGTTTCTGAACATGAAGTATATGTGTATCCAACAGTATTTATATATGACAGTATGACTATCATCCTCAAAAAAAAATACACGTGAATTCAAGTGAATACTGACGTAGAATATGTGAGAACAGGCTGGGATACAGCTTAACTAAATATATTTATTAAGTATAGACATTCTACTTTAAGCAAATGGGAGAATGGGGAAATTTTTTCAGTAGAGAATTGAGAACATTAAAAGGATTATATGTATAGCAGATAATGTACATAGAAAAGCAGAACCAGGCAGTTAAAGTGTACTTGCAGAGTCTTACCTAATCCTTTTAACTAAGTTAAGATTAAAAGACACTATTAGAAAACACAGGTGATACTTATTAAGCATGCAGAATATATCCGACAGGATTTTAAAAATGGCAATAATAGCTGTCTCTGGGAAAAAAGAAGGTGAAACTGGAGATTATGAAGGAGATTCACTTTTCACTCTATACCCTTTTGTACTATTTAAACTTTTTTTAAAAAATCATATATATTGGGGCACCTAGGCGGCTCAGTCGTTAAGTGTCTGCCTTCAGCTCAGGTCATGGTCCCAGGGTCCTGGGATCGAGCCCCGCCATCAGGCTCCCTGATCCACGGGGAGCCTGCTTCTCCCTCTCCCACTCCCCCTGCTCGTGTTCCCTCTCTCTCTGTGTCACTCTGTCAAATAAATAAATAAAATCTTTAAAAAAATTATCTTTTTTATGAAGCAAAAAGTTGAGCAACAAAGTAAATCAGGTAGTACTGAAATATAATCCAAACTATAAAATAAATACCCATGAGTCCACACTGATATAGATAAACTAGGAGAACAGACAAATCTCCTATGCAGAAAAATCCCAAATAATTTATGAAGATAGCTGCTACCTCTAGGAGTGGAGCCTAAATCCTCACCACCTGAGTGCAGGCAGCGTATAGTGACTTTCTTCCCAAAAGCACAGCACAGGTGGAAGCAGTAATTTTACACTGGAGAAACTTGACAAATGCCACCTGAACCAGATGAACATCATCAGTGATAAGTCATGTTGATAGTATGTACTCCTGATAGGATGAGGAGAATGGCACTTCACTTGTGTGGTCTTCCTTCCAAAATCCATCTCAGTTTTGAGAAGAACATGAGACAAATCCATATTGAGGGCATTCTACTAAATATCTAACCAGTACTTGTCAAAACTGTCAGAGTCATTAAAAACATGTAAAGTCTGAGAAATTGTGACAGTCTAGAGGAACCTAAACAGACATGACAAGTAAATATAATGTGGTATCCTGGATGGGATCATGAGATGGAAAAAGATTATCAGTAAAAACAAAGAAATCTGAATAAGGTATAGATTAAGGTATTATAATGTATCAATATAGGTTCACTACTCAAGACAAATATGCCACACTAAGGTAAGATGCTAATAACGGGGGAAACCTGGTACAGGGTATCTGGAACCCTCTGTACGGCCTCAGCAACTTTTTTGTAACTATAAAACTATTCTAAAATTAAAAGTTTTATTTAAAAATAAAAAGCAAAGAGTATCTTTATTTATTATTTATTTTAAAGATTTTATTTATTTATTTGAGAGAGGGAGAGACAGCCAGAGAGGGAACACAAGCAGGGGGAGTGGAGGAGGGAGAAGATGGCTTCCTGTTGAGCAGGGAGCCCGATGCGGGACTCGATCCCAGGACCCCAGGATCATGACCTGAGCCTAAGGCAGATGCTTAACGACTGAGCCACCCAGGCACACCGCAAAGAGTATCTTTTAAAAGAATACGATTTCTCATAATTAAAGGCAGGATTCGTGGGGCGCCTGGGCGGCTCAGTCGCTTGAGCATCTGCCTTTGGCTCGGGTCATGATCCCGGAGTTCTGGGATCCAGCCCTGAGTCGGGCTTCCTGGTCAGCGGGGAGCCTGCTTCTCCCTCTCTGCTCCTCACCCCACTCATGCTCTCTCTCTCTCTCTAATAAATAAGATACCTGAATTAAAGAAAAAAACAACTGGGGGAAGATCAGTAATGACCAAGGAAAGATAGAAAACGCTAGAATGCATAGAATCCCCTAATTTATGTTGGGATGAACAAAATTCCTTAGGAAAAGGACAATACAGAAAACTGAGGCACCTGGGTGGCTCAGTCAGTTAAGCATCTGCCTTCGGCTCGGGTCATGATCCCAGGGTCCCGGGATCGCCCCATGTCGGGCTCCCTGCTCAGCGGGGGGTCTGCTTCTCCTTCTCCCTCTGCCCCGCCTTGCTTGTGCTCTCTTGGCTCTCTCTCTCAAATAAATAAATAAAATCATTAAAAAGAAAAAATACAGAGAATTAAAATATATGTAATTTGAAATTTTAATATTTTCAAAATTTTGCAGTGATTTCATACTAAGAGTTTATCTCAAATTTAATAACAATTAATTGAGAAAATTTCCTTCTCACCATTAGCTGCCGCCAGAAAGGATTTGTTACTGCCCCGAGCCTTATTGGTCAAGTCTTCAGTTATGTCCATGTGCCGGTGGATTTCTTCACGCATTTCTTCCAGAATTTTGCAGAGTTCTGCTTCCCAGTAATCTTTATCTAGACAGTCAATTAATTCTGCAAGTTGGACCTTTGTGCTGTAGTACCAAATTTTCTTCTCATTTTCATTTTCTGTATCTTCTTCTCTGTTTAAAAGAAGTACAAAAACATTTCTATGTTAGACATAATGACACTGATTTGACAACTGCCATCTATCCAGGGAAAGTTAGAATATGTAACACAAAGTCTGCCCACTAAAGCTCAGTATATTTGCTCACGAGAAATCCCCTCAAGTCTCATTCTAACTCAAGTTACTTTTACTTTAATTGAGCAATCTCTCATTATTTTGCTTTCCTACCCCACAGCAGCTTATGATAAAATAATCTGTGAGTAACAGTGGAGAGAGAGGTTGGGGGGCGCCTGGGTGGCTCAGTCAGTCAGTTGAGCATCCAACTCTTGATTTCAGCTCAGGTCATGATCTCAGGGTCGTGAGACTGAGCCCCACATTGGGCTCTGTGCTCAGTACGGAGTCTGCTTGGGATTCTCTCTCTTTCCCTCTCTCTCTCTCTGCCCCTCCCCACTCGCTCTCTCTCTCAAAATAAAAATAAAATATAAAATCTTTAAAAAACAAAAGTAGTGGGTAGAGAGAAGAATTAGTATAGCAGCAAAGAAAGATATCTAAGGGTGCCTGGGTGGTTCAGTCAGTTGAGCATCTAACTCTTGATTTCGGCTCAGGTCATGATCTCAGGGTCCTGGGACTGAGGCCTGTGTCAGGCTCCTTGCTCAGTGGGGAGTCTGATTGAGGATTCTCTCTCCCCTCTCCCTCTGTTACTCACCCTACTCACGTGCACTCTCCTTCTCTTTGAAATAAAAAAATAATCTTAAAAAAAAAGAAATATCTAAAAACATGACACAGAAACAGGACCTCAAACTTCAGAGTATGTGAGTACTTGGTGGGGGACAGTCTTGCTTATACTTCAGTTGACTTTGAGATCATCACTATAACCACATGAATGGAATTTTAACCAGAAATATTTAAATTATGGTCAGTGCATGGCAGGCACAGAGCAGCCTGACACTACAATTCAGTTTAGAACATTTCCATCAACATGATATAAATGCTCTGCTAAATTCTGGTCCTTGAAGGAGTCATCTCAATGAGCGATGTTTCCTCTCCCTTTCTTATGGACAAAGTTCAAACTGGAGAGAAGAGGAGCAGCTCTCTGTCCTGCTTGCATCTCTTCAAAGGTCCCATTCACTTGTGATGCAGGCGTAGACTTCAACTAAAAACACAAGGTAAATTCATGCCTAGGACCGGACTTTCAGAAATACGTGTGACGGTATTTCTTCTCTCATTCAAAAGGAATTCAGGAGCATGTATGAGGTACCAGAGAGTCTAACTTTCCTGTCTACTCAACAGCAAACTCACAGAACTGAAAGAACTGGGCTTTAAGAAAGATCTGGCTTTAAAATGGGCCCAGGCATTTATGAGATATGCAAACGTGGACAAGACACAACCTCTCTGAGTCTCTGAGCCATTTTATTTACCTTGCTGATAAAATGGGGATAATAGTAACTCCTTCAGGGCCACTGTAAGAATTAAAGGTATTATAATAAGGCACAGATTGTAAAAAAATAAAATAAATAAGGTATAGATTGTAGCAACCAGGCACATTGTTAGTAATCAATAAAAATAAAATATTATTGTTACTATTACAGAAGTAAATAAATAAAAATTGAGAATTTCAAGAATGAGTCATTCAGTAATTCTGAAGAAAGGAGGGACATATTAAGTCATGGATAAATAAATGGGTATCAAAATTATCAAAAATGAAAAAAACAAATTAATGAATGTTATCTCACTTTGCTTTTTTTTTTTTTTTTTTTTACTTGAGTAATCTCTACCTCCAAGGTGGGGCTTAAACTCACGACCCTGAAATCAAGAGTTGCATGCACTTCCCACAGAGCTAGCCAGACGCCCCTCATTTTTCGCTTTCAAATCAGCATCTGACATATGAAATTTGTATATTGCTTCTGTTAGAAGCTTTTTACAAAAATTGCTGAAAATCATTTTCTTTAAAACCTGCTCTCGATTACTCTCTATAATGGGTATTTCTAACTTCTTATGACTCAGTGATGACAATAGTTTTATTCCAATTTACAATGTTAAAGATGTCAGAGTCCTCTAATCAAAAAGACTAATAATAAAATACTTTTAAAAGGCAATACCATATCAAAAATCTAATTAAGTGACAATATCAAATCAGAAAGCACTTACTGAGCTTTGAGCATAAAAGTTACAGGACAGCCTGGTTCTCTATGTTCTAAAAAATCAATCTTAAGGATTCACTTGTTATAAAGATCTTGAATTCTTTCTTTTACTTTTGCATTTTCCTCTTTACTCAGAAATATCTATAAATTTCAATGAAACAAGAACATTCTGCATAAAAACATTTTTGGGATAGAAACATAATTTACAAGTGTAAGATTTCAACATGAAAATGAGATGGTATGGGAGCAAACTTAATTAAATGGACATTCTGTCCATTTTTTCAAGTAATTCACATACTATTGAAAGGGTTCCTAATAGCTGATTTAATCCATACTGTCATTTGCATAATTTCTATCTAAACAGGCTACTTAATTTCAATTTTTTTTTTAAAGATTTTATTTATTTACGCGAGAGAGAGAGAGAGAGTGAGCGAGAGAGAGAGAGCACAAGCCAGGGGGGAAAGGCAAAGGGAAAAGCAGATTCTCTACCTAGCAGGGAGCCTGATGAGAGGCTGGATCCCAGGACCCCGGGACCATGACCTAAGCCAAAGGTAGATGCCCAACCGACTGAGCCACACAGGCACCCCTTAATTTCAATTTTAATCTTAATTTTCATCTTAAAAGAGAACTCGCTACTTCATATAGCAGAAAGTTCTTTCTCCTTTTTTTTTTTTTTTTAAGGTCATGGGGCTTGAACTCCCAATCCTGAGATCAAGACCTGAGGTGAGATCAAGAGTCAGACCCTTAACCAACTGAGCCTCCCAGGCACCCCAGAAAGTTCTTCCTTTTAATGAGATGACACAAACCTAGTGTTTCCACCAATTAGTCCTGGTTCTGCCTGCTGGAGTTATGTGAAATAAACTTAACACCTCCTCCACACACAGTCCTTCAAATCATTCACAACATCTACAATTTTACTGTTTTTTCTTTTCAGGCCAAACATGCTCAAATACTTTAACCATTTCTTATTGTACATTTTCCAGTCCTCACAACCCTGATATTCTTCCCCTCATTGTCCCTCTACAAATGTGGCACCCGAAAACTATTTTTTATTCTTTTCATCAAAGATCATACAACACTGACAGTTTTTTCTTCTTGAAGCTGTAGAAGGACAAATTTGTTAAAAGCATAAAATAACAAAACAGAGTGAACAACTGTTAATGTTTTCAAAGAAAAGCTGTTTTGTTGTTTTTTTTTTGAGTAATGTCTATGCCCAACGTGGAGCTCAAACTCATGACCCTGAAATCAAGAGTCACTTGTTCTACTGACTGAGCCAGTCAGGTGCCCCATGAAAAGCTGTCCTAATCCTTGTGGACTGAAGCACATTTAGACAGCTTATATTATCAAAATTATTTGTTCTAATCATAAAAGTGACAAGAGCTTTCCTATACAAATATACATTGATTTGTATATATATTTGGTTTGGGGTTAGAATGTGGTTTCTATAGAAGCTCTGTTCCCACAGTGCCTGCAATGTTCCTTCTATACACCCAAACTGGCCTGGCTTTCCTAAAGACACTAATCAGCTCAAAGGAGCTCACAGGTGGCAGGGGAAAGCAAGTTGGAATGAAAACATTTGCCAAAAATATAATTAAGAGCAAACATAAATATTATAGGTCTCCATTTTAAAGTTTGTTTGGCTTTTACTCATGCCAGATAAGTAGGAGGTTAATGACTAACAATAAGTTTCAAGTTTCATTTTTAAACAAACCCACAGAAACTTAAGAGTAGCGCCTGGGTGGCTCAGTTGGTTAAGCAACTGCCTTCGGCTCAGGTCATGATCCTGGAGTCCCAGGATCGAGTCCCACATCGGGCTCCCTGCTCAGCAGGGAGTCTGCTTCTCTCTCTGACCCTCTTCCCTCTCGTGCTATCACTCATTCTCTCTCTCTCTCAAATAAATAAATAAAATCTTTAAAAAAAAAAGAATAAAAAGGGACACCTGGGTGGCTCAGTCACTCGGCATCTGCCTTCGGCTCAGGTCATAATCCCAGGGTCCTGGGATCAAGCCCTGCATCGGGCTCCCTGCTCAGTGGGAAGCTTGCTTATCCCTCTCCCACTCCCCCTACTTGTATTCCCTCTTGCAGTCTCTGTCAAATAAATAAAATCTTTAAAAAAAAATAAAAAGATTGGCCTTCTTATATATACTGAATCTCTAAGTTGATTGCTCAGCATTTTGGTTCCTCAGGTAGATTCAGGTAAAAACCTTTCCTTTATTAGATGCTTCACTAATCTATACAAATAACCTATTTTTAAATGAATATTAAACAAATAAAAGCAGTAGCAGAAAAACTTAGTTTCTATAAACTGCTAGCATTGCAATTAAAAACCGTTCACTACTGGGGCACCTGGGTGGCACAGCTGGTTAAGCGTCCAACTCTTGGTTTCAGCTCAGGTTGTGATGTCAGGGCTGTGAGATCAAGCCCCAAGTTGGGCTCTGTGCTTAGCACGGGGTCTGCATGAGTTTCTCTCTCCTTCTCCCTCTCCCCCTACACACACATGTGAGCACATGCTCTCTCTCAAATAAATAAATAAATCCTTTAAAAAAATTGTTCACTGGGGCGCCTGGGTGGCTCAGTTGGTTAAGCAACTGCCTTCGGCTCAAGTCATGATCCTGGAGTCCCAGGATCGAGTCCCACATCGGGCTCCCTGCTCAGCAGGGAGTCTGCTTCTCCCTCTGACCCTCTTCCCTCTCATGCTCTCTATCTCTCATTCTCTCTCTCAAATAAATAAATCTTTAAAAAAAATAAAAATAAAAAAATAAAAATAAATAAAAAAATTGTTCACTACCCCACACTCCCCCCTTGGGCAATAGGTCCACCGACTCCTCATTTTAAGGTTCCAGGGAGAGCGTATACCAAATCCCCATACTGTCAACTGAACAATTTACAAGACTTCAAAAGTTTCACCAGGAGTCCACATATAATCTACCACAAGAGGGCATCAAACTGAAATTGTTTTAATCTTTTATTTATTTTTTAAAGATTTATTTATTTGACAGAGAGATAGAGAGCACAAGTAGGCAGAGGGAGAGGGAGAAGCAGGCTCTCTGCCGAGCAGGGAGCCCGATGTGGGACTCGATCCTGGGACCCCAGGATCATGACCTGAGCCGAAGGCAGCCGCTTAACCAACTGAGCCACCCAGGCGCCTCTAATCTAACTTTTAAAAAGATGTAAAATCTTTCTGATTTACTGAAATTATTGACAAGGAACACTTAATTACCACTAACAATGATATTTAAAGTTTTTTGACTTTATAAAAATAATAGTCAAAAATCACAGCATGAAAAAAAGACATCCTTATCTGTCTGAAATCTTCACTAAACTTTGTATACTTTATTATGCATCAAGAAAGGCAATTTCAGGGGCACCTGGATGGCTCAGTAGGTGGAGCATGCAACTCTTGATCTTGGGGTCATGAGTTCAAGCCCCACATTAGAGTTTACTTAATAAAAATATATATATATTTAAAAAAAAAAAGAAAGGCAATTTCAGGGAATGAGTAAAGCTTTCAAAGAAAATAAATCAAATGAATAGTTTCACTACCAAATATAGAACTTAAAGAATTTTACTGTTCAATTTAGAAAAGTAGATTATTTCATCTCCTCAAATGTATCAAAAATCCATCGACAGGTGCTTCAAAGGTAACAAGTCCTCTGATGTAATTACAAAGGTTTACACACATTTAACTACATTTAAAGAATCTTCTCTCCTACTTGCCTGAGTTTTGTTTTAAATACTAATACTGATTTATTAGGGAATAGAACTTTTTTAGAATGCCACTTATATTTTCAAAAAGTGTCTTTGTCTCAAATTTTTAAAGATCTCAAAAATATCCAGTCCAGGTACAGCAAAAGTCATTAAACTATCTCCACCCACCCCCACCCCCAGTCATAAGCATTGATTTTAACAACTAAAACAATGTAAGTTACAGACATCTCAAGATGATGCCTTGGAAACTAGACTACAGTATAAAATTTGTTAACTGAAAATATTCTTATCAACAGGTTCTGAGAAAAAATTCCAGGTCTCACTTACTAATAGCCACAGTCTTGGGCAAGCCCTAGGGCAAGTTATTTAACCTGAGCTTTAGTGTCTTCATCTATAAAATGCAGACAAAAATAACATGTACATTATTGGGTTTTTGCAAGGATTAATGAAAAAAATGTAAATAAAATGCTTAGAACACTATGAGGCATATATTAAGTGCTCAATAAATGTTGTTGGCTATTCATTACTAGTCCATCACCTACTGGTTCCACCTTCAGGTCCCTAAAACCTAGGCCCAGACCTTACAATTATATTGTAATAAATGTCAAGGCCTATCAATATTTGGACAAAGCGTCTTTGGCATCTCTCTGGCCCAAAAGGACTGGACGGAGAAGGAAGTGAGAAGCAGGGAGAATAAACATCCCAAAGGATGAGGAAGGGCAGGATAGGGAAGGGAAATATAGGAAGGGAAAATAGGAGCACAGAATAAATTTCACTTACTTCCTAATTTGTTCACAGCGGTCCCAAGGACTCTGAGCCCTTTCGAGAGGGCCTTAGAGACTGAGTATGAACATGGTCTGTTAACTGCTGAATGTCTATAGAAAAGGACAAGCACCAGGCTCCCTGATGGGCAATGTCACTGACTTTTCACTTAAAATGAAATAGAGCATTAAACTTCAAACCAAAACATGGTTACAGTGATCTCACCAACTGTAATGACCTCGCCAACAAAAAGCTTCCATGCTACCACCTCCATAGCAAGAGGTCAAAAAGATGGCATGATAAAACACCATGACTAGATATTTGGGAGGTGGGGGGGGCAAGACAAAAATTACACAAATTTTTAAAAATTAACTGATCCAGAGCAGCTGGGTGGCTCAGCTGATTAAGCATCTGCCTCCAGCTCAGGTCATGATCCCAGGATCCTGGGATCGAGTCCCACATCAGGCTCCCTGCTCAGGGAGGAGTCTACTTCTCTCTCTCTCCCTCTGCCCAACCTGGCTCCCCCGCTCCCCGACTCATGCTCTCTCTCTCTCAAATAAAATATTTTTAAAAAATAAAAAAATAAAAAATATAAAAATAACTGATCCAAATCAAAAGATGCAAAATATACATTTTAAAAGTTCATATACTCTTTCTCTTATCAGTTTCTGAATTAAGGTAAGAGACTAAATCCAAACATCTCATTTTGCTCCCTCCTGAAACCCTCTTAGAACTGCTAAAGAAAGTATTTTTTAAAACATTAAACTCACAAGGATAGAGAAAAGAGCAGAGGCAAGAAACAAAATTTGGAAGCAGGAAAGCAAACGGACGAGTGATAACTGCTGTTACAGGAGCCAAGAAAGCCCAATCCCAAACCAAAAGGGTGATGCTGAGATATATATAAAATAATCACAATCCCCAAAAGACACTAAAAATGGAAAAGGGGGTATCTACAGCAGAGAACTGCTTGAAAGCTGCTTAATGAGCAGATCCCTTGACCACCTACACCTATCCTCTTCAGCCACTAAAGGATTAGTCTCCCAAAGGAAGTAAACACTGAAGTTCTCTGGACTAGGGGACACTAGTCCTCTGCTCAGGTATGAACAAAGGTACTACTGTACAGAAAATCAACCACCAAGGGGCTAAACCAGTCAGATCTTCATGTGCCAAGTAGGACACCAGAAAAGGCCTCTCTGAGCCATCTGACCAGCTCAAGAAAAAGGACTAAAAATAGTGAGTGACATCAGTGATGCCAAATAACACAGATTAAGAAAATCACCCAGTGGTTAAGCTCAAAACTGATAAGGCCCACCCACTTGCTCAGAGCTTCCAATCAGCTGTATAATACCACAATGTTAATCAGGATCAGAAAATTATGAATTAATAATCTGAGGATGGAAGAGACCAAAACAAATCCCAGGAAGAAGCAACAGAAGAAACAGAGATTATGCAAAGAGGGGAAAATGCACGTGCGCACACACACGCACACACACACACACACACACACTCATACACACAAAAGCATCATTGATATCCTCAGAAAAGAGAAAAAATTATTATATCCACGAAACAAAAACAGGATTTTATTACTTTTTTAAAGGAGGAAGATTCTAAGACCAAAAGAGCTCTTAGAAAATAAAAATATGATAGAAAAGAAAAACTAAATAGTAGGACTGGAAGACTAAGATAAGGAAATCTAGAAAAACTGAGTAACACCCCATACACACACACACTCACTCACTCACTCACACCCCAAAGAAGAACAAAGACAAAGAGGAAAACTGGAGAAAAAAGATAAGAAAATCAGAAGACCAAAATAGGAAGTCCAGTGTTTGATAAAATAATGGCACAAGGTAAATACAACGGGGAAAAGGGGTGGAGGAAGTCCTCAAGAGAAATTCTCAACTGAAGGACTCAACTGCCAGATTGAAAGTACCCACCAAACACCCAGTGGATGAAAAAAGACTCACACAAAGCCATACCACTTTAAAACTGCAGAACACTACAAGCAAAGAGAAGGTTCCACAAGCTTCCAGGTAAGTCCAAACCAGTCACACACAATCAATGACCGAATTCAGACTTCTCAACAGCAACACTGCAAGAAGACAACTGCACAAAAAACTCAGAAGATCTCTGCTTACTCTGTACCATTTTTATAATCAAAGGGTGAGCCCAACTAAGATTCTTCTCTCTACCTGGCTTGCTTGCCCAGGTACTGATGAAGTTCCTGCTTTCTTCTCCATGCCCTACTCTGATTTCATCCCACCACAGATTTTCTGATTTGACCTAATTCTGAGAGCTGAAAGAAGGCTTTGAAGACTTCAAAAGCTGGAAATACAAAGTAGCCCACTACCTCTGATTATATTTCCACAAGATGTCAAAACCAAGTCCCCACTACAACCCTGCCCAACATCTGACTGAGGTACATGCTCTGCTTTTCCAGACTGCCTCCTAACCTTCCCACTGACCTGCCTGGAAGAGCCCCCTAAAAACCCTCAGAAAAGCAGAAGCCTATGAACATGAGTCTGTTGAGCTTATCTTTTCCTGCAAGACTACAACTAATAATGACAAAACTGATCTTTCATAAGACAGCCGGTTTGTTCTTGCCAGTCCATTTCACGTACAGATATAGCAAAACTAAAAAGAGAAGCAAGAAAATCCTAACACCAAAATTAGGGCAGAGATTACCTCAGGATAGGCTGTAGGGAACATAACCAGGGAAGAGCCCACAGTGGCATCTGCCTTGGAATAATTCTAATTCTCACCCCACCAGGCAATTAATAGACTGGTGTGTAATGTGCTTTTTTTCATAAATTTTTCTTTCTTTGCAACTGAAGAAACTTTTAATGCATTTATTTCTTCAAGTTAGAAATTATTTAACTATGTAACTCATTATTAAATCACAAAGGTTTATATGACATCAGCAGCATAGCTCTGTTATATCAGTCATGAAGGAAACTGGCTTAATTTTAAATACATACAAAAATTAAGACCAGATTTACTTACATTATGAGTCTTCGGTTTAAGAACCAGTATTTCCTCCGACTCCTGTCATATCCAATAGGTTCATGTCGAATATATGGTTTGTTTTTTTGGATTTCAGCAACACAGTCAGTCACACCAGGCACCTTATGTGCTACACAGACTTCACACTGCCATTCATCCTCTGGTACCTCCTCAAGAGGTGGTTTCACACATTCCAAATGGTATACTGCTGAACATGTCTCACAGCAAAGCAAATCCCCAAGTTTGTGACAAACCCGACAATGGTCATCATATTGGATCACCCCTTCAGACATCAATTCCTCACGAGCAATATTTGTGGTAAGAAACTGATCGACTAAGAACTGCAGAACTTTGATTTTGTTCTCTACTGGTCCATAGGGATAGTCCTCTGCTTCTTGGTAAGGAAGAACATGATGGTACTCCTTATCACTCTCACAGTACACCCGCAGCACCTCTGGCCACGTCATCCCATCTATGAAATACAGCGTGGAATTAACGCTATCTTTCAGATCAGCAGGTCCAAAGGTAGTATTCGAAGTGTCTTCTTCACGCAAAACTGCTTTCAAAAGCACAACGTGCATCTCTGCCATAAGTGTGCACTGCTCTTGACTCACCAGAGCTGCACAAAAGTCCTCAAAGCGAAAAGGAGATAACCTTAAAACAGTGCCAAAGTTCCGCAGTACCTCATAAATGGCAATAACATTCATTATATGCTCATTAGGCACCATTAAATCCTCAGAGGACTTGGGAAATTCAAGGGGTGGGATGTCTTTTTCTTCCAATATCGGAGAACGAGGCCGATGTACTCTTGGTTTTCGCCTACCTGTAAAGAAAGAAATGGCATAATTACAAAACAGTACATCGTTTCTTTTTTTAAAAATATTTAAGTAATCTTTACACCCAAAGAGGGGTTCGAACTCACAACCCTGAGATCAAGAGTCACATGTTCCTCCAACTGAGCGAGCCAGGTGCCCCACAAATCAGTACATCATTTCTTTTTTTTTCTTTTTTTTTTAAAGATTTTATTTATTTATTTGAGAGAGAGAGAGAACGAGAGATAGAAAGCACGAGAGGGAAGAGGGTCAGAGGGAGAAGCAGACTCCCTGCTGAGCAGGAAGCCCGATGTGGGACTCGATCCCGGGACTCCGGGATCATGACCTGAGCCGAAGGCAGTCGCTTAACCAACTGAGCCACCCAGGCGCCCTCAGTACATCATTTCTAAAAACTAAGAGTTTTCTAGTTTTTCCTATCTGGACATATACCTCAGAAAATAGATAAGCATACTTCTATTTTTCTAATAACTGTCAAGTTAAAATAATACCAATAAGTAATGATTTACCTCTAATTTTTAAGTCTATAAAAAATCTGAATTTGACGTTTTCCCATTATATTACAAACTACAAGTAAAAAATTTTCAATTATAATCAGCTCTCAATTATCTAGAGGGGTTAACTGGTGTAGAGGTAACCATGATAAAAAATAACTGTGTTTACGAAAGATGTGAAAAGAACATTAATGAGAAAAAACATCCCAATGTAAGATAAGAGGCACAACAGAGCTCATACTGTGTCTGCTGCGATACAGAAATGCCTGCCTCTCAACAACCAGACAGGAAGTTCTCTGGTGAAGCACCCCTTTTCCTCTGCCAGAAATGCTTCCTGAGAGCCACGTATCAGGGGAGTTCCACAGTGAAGCACAAAGTTAGGACTGAAACAGAAAGGAAGGAGGAAGTAGGAGGGGAGAGTCCCAGTGCTGGGAGAAGGAAAAAGGGAGGCTCAGGTAGGAAACGGGCAACAGACTACGTATATTTTTTAGCAAACAACTGTAGGCGCCTGTTCCCCAATTTATGAGATGTGATGTCCAAGAATATATAATGTATGCATATAAATGTATCAATATTTAGCACATTTGAGAACTTTGTACCAAACATACAGATCTTTTAATTCTCTGAATGAGTCTATGAGGTATTTTAATAAGCCCTGCTATATAAGTAAGAAAACTTATTGAAAGAAACAAGTTTCTGCGGTGCCTCAGTGGCTCAGTTGGTTGAGCATCTGTCTCTGGCTCAGGACATGGTCCCAGGGTCCTGGGATCAAGCCCCAAGTTGGGCACCCTGCTCAGCGGGAGGCTGCTTCTCCCTCTCCCGCCCGCTTGGGCTCTCTCTCGCTATCTCTGTCACTATCTCTCTCTTTCAAATAAATATATAAAATCTTAAAAAAAAAAGTTAAAAAAAGAAACAAGCTGCTCCTAAACTGCTATGTCTGTTATTACTATTATTATCATTATTATACTTTCCAATGATGTTTACAGAATAGGAAATGTATTTTTAAATATCAGAAATAGGGATGCCTGGGGTGCCTGGGTGGCTCAGTCGGTTAGGCGTCTGCCTTCAGCTCAGGTCATGATCGCAGGGTTCTGGGATGAAGCCCAGCATCGGGCTCCCTGCTCAGCAGGAAGCCTGCTTCTCCCTCTGCCTGCCACTCCCCCTGCTTTGTGAGCACGCTCTCTCTCTCTCTCTCTCTGACAAATAAATATTTTTTAAAAACAAAAAAATTAAATATCAGAAATAATTCTAACAAAATCAATTAACATTAAATTCATTTTTGTACAATTAACTTTCATCAATCATGATTTTGGGTTACTGGTAAACCCTTTTAACTACCTGCTCCCTCCCCCATTCCTGAGCCCTCACTTCTGGCTTTGTCTCATTATCTGCACACTAAAAGGGTGTACGGTATAAGGAGAAAAAAGTATGTTAAAGAATATAAAGGGCCAAGATATTTTAATTTATACATGTACACCCAATATTCATTCACTGAAAAGATTTTCCAAATAAAAATACACCCATTACTTTCTGCAGAAAAAAGTCCAAGGGATCACCCTGGGCCAGACATTGCTGGTGAGCCTATATAGCGAGAAATGAGCCTACATCTCAGCAAACTTCTCAGAAGTGACACCATCTACACAGATGCAGTTTTCACAGACTCAATTAAATCACAGAATCACCATGATAGTAAGCACCACGATGGGTAATCCAGTCCATTTTACTGTCTCCTGGAAATTATTTAGGACCTACTACATAAATATAAATGAGAAAGGAGTAAAAGGAAGACTAAAACTAGAGGAATTCCCTCAAATAAGAGAAGAAACACAAGTCAGCAGAGACAAAACTGCTTATAGAAACAGTCCCTGCATTCCTCTCAGATGTTTACGCAAAATGCTGTCAAAGAGTATCCAAGTAAAGAATCACAGAAGGAAAGGCTGGAAAAGCAGTTCTAGGACCAGGAGAATGTAGATGTCCTTAAATGTTAGGTTTAGGAGTCTGTATAGTAGTACTTTATACTGGCAGTAATGAGGGTTGTTACAGGTTTTCTAAACAGGGCAAAGGGTTGAATGTTCCAGAGAGACTTCTCTGGCTTCACTGCATAGAATGAAACCAGAAGCAGGGCATCTTCTGCAATTAACCATAAGATGAAGACTGGGATTCAGTGAGAACTGAGCGGCTGTGAGAACAACAAAAAGATGGATACAAGTGACCTTATGGGGTGGCTCAGTTGGTTAAGCGACTGCCTTCGGCTCAGGTCATGATCCCGGAGTCCTGGGATCGAGTCCCACATCAGGCTCCCGGCTCAGCGGGGAGCCTGCTTCTCCCTCTGACCTTCTCCCCTCTCATACTGTTTCTCTCTCTCTCTCTCAAATAAATAAATAAAATCTTTAAAAAAAAAAAAACAAAACAAGTGACCTTATGAAGAAAGAAATCACCAGGTGTGGAATATACCACCACCACCTTGAGATGTAACTCCGTAAGTTACCATTTCCTTCAAAAGCTTTTCTAACCTCCCCAGGCTCTTCTGAATTCCCAAAGCCTTCTTCAAACCATGTTATCTTATATTATAATTTACCTTTTCATGGTATCTACTCCATCTCCCCAGCTGAACACCTAACTCTTATGCCAAAGAGAATCTGGCATATTTCTTTTATTAGTAAGTATTTGCCTAGCATCATTCCCTATGGAGAATTTCCCTTCCCCCACACCACGTGATTCTGCTGAGGCCCCCAGTCACAGTATTCCATCTCCTCATCACTGGCATGGAGATAGGCCCCAGGGCAGCCCAGCAAGACTCTATGCCCGGGATGTTATATTCATCTTGTTAAGTGAGAAGTGCTCTGAAGCCCTTTCTTTCCATGAAGGAGGCCAGAGCTGTCCGTGGCTAACCCATCATGGAAGAAGGGAATCAGGATGATGGACAGAAGCGGAAGTAAGATATATAACACTGATAATTCTTGAGCCCTTGGTGGAATGTATCCCTCAGTTCTCACAGCTACAGAAACCAAAACCATTTCCCTTGCGCTTAAGTGAACATGTTGGTTTTCTATCACTCGCAAATAAGAGTACTCGTTAAAAAGTATCTGACAGTGTATCCAGTAGGCTTTTTATAATGAGAAACACAATAAATTACTATTTAAAGTCTATCAATGAAAGCAGTTAATGTTAAAAAAAACGCTGATAGTAATCTATGTGTAAAACAGTAACAGAAATACTGTCTAAATTTAATGTCTAATTTTATTTTTTTAGTTATTTTTTTAGAGGGGGGAGAGTGGCAGAGGGAGGGGGAGAGAGAATCTTAAGCAGGCTCCACGCCCAGCGCAGAGGCCAGTGCAGGGCTTGATCTGATGACTCTGAGATCATTACCTAAGCCAAAATCAAGAGTCGGACACTTAACCCACAAGCTACCCACACGCCCGTAATGTCTAAGTTTAAAGCATCAGCTTTCATACATTCTGAAAGATTTTGGATAACCATTGTATAGATCTGATCTTTAACAGTTCCTTTAACTTTGTATTTATAAGCTAAAGTCTGTTCATTTTCTGTTGGTGTTAGAGGTAAAAGGAGAAAAAGGCCCATAAAGTCTACATCCTACACATCTAGCTGGAAACCACAAAGTAGCTTCTATTCAAAGTATGACTATAGTCATATACATCCTGAAAGTGTGAGCACTTTTGAAGGTTAACATTAAATATAGGTCAGTTCCCTCTGAAGCATTATTGGAAAAGTATAAATTGTTTCAATTTTTTAAAGGGCAATGTGGCAAAATCTATCTGAATGTATAACCCTTTGACCCGAAAATTCAACCTCTGAGAATTTATCCTACAGATACACACACACATTCAAGTACAAAAAAATTTAAAGCAACAGTTTGTAGAAGTCAAGGTTTTGTGTTTTTTTTTTAACCTAAATATACATCAATACTTAAATGAATTATGAATTATGATAATCTACACAATGTAATCCAATCTAGCAGTTGAAAAGAACAATGTAAAATTCATATATCTGAAATGAAAAATTTTTTTATTTTTATGTTTTTTAAAGATTTTATTTATTTATCCACGACAGACAGAGAGGCAGAGGGAGAAGCAGGCAGGGAGCCCGATGTGGAACTCGATCCCAGCACCCTGGGATCATGACCTGAGCTAAGGGCAGACGCTTAACCATCTGAGCCACCCAGGCGCCCTGAAATGAAAAATCTTAAAGATACATTATTAAATGAAGAAAAAAGCCAGTAATGGAGAAAAAAGAACAATGAATAGAAAGTCAATGAGGGGCACCTGGCTGGCTTAGTTCATGGAGCATGAGGCTCTTGATCTCAGGGTTGTGAGTTCAAGCCCCACACTGGGCATAAAACTTAATTTAAAAAAATGAAAAGAAAAAAAAGAATGTCACTGAGAAAAGAAATTAGAAACAAAAGGAAAAAAATAGGGGATAAGGATAATATATATATACCTAAGAAGTCATTTAAGAATCTTCTTAGGGACACCTGGGTG